ATATCATCAATCTTGATTATTGTGTCAAGTCACCTTGACAAGCTGGTACAACATGGTCCATTGCTCTAGGTGTCTATAAAAACCACCCATCACCATCATAATGAACACTTTGAGAGCCACATTTCTGAGGTTGGCCAAGGACCAATCATCCATTCCTTGGCAATTTGCAAGGAGTAAGCAACTAGATCTACCGTTTTATCTCTCCTCACAATCCATCCCTTTGTTCTTGGTCAAGGTGTTTTAAACAACACAATAGTCATAGTTATTTGGGCTTTTACAGTTAGTACAGCATTTATATAAAAGATACAGTATGAACAAGATAAGCATATGTAATACCTTAGAAGCAAACAAAGGGAGAAAATAGTCCCAAAGAAACACTTTTTCCATTCTATAAGACCATTGCACATATATTTATACTGATGTACTAATTTAACATCTGTTTTTTCCCTTGATCTATGACCACTTGAACTTTGTGATAAACTGTATACAGCTATTTAATATAGTAATGAACTAAATCTATTTCTTCCTCAGGTCAACCACTCTCCATTATTATCACATCCTAGGGAGGTTTAATTCCCCAGTAATTTGATCATCATATGATTTATTTATATAAGGTAGTTGAATCTTACCAATAATATTAGTGTCATGCCATATTATAATATGGTTTTGACACAGTTTCATTATAAAATAAATAAGAATATATCACAGATTGTTTATTAAAACTTCCTAGAAGAATTTTCCTTTGCTCACATACCAGATATTATTATGTACAAATGTTACCACCAGTGGCAATGTTTCGTTTATATCTAGGTTTCAGGTTAGGTGAAGACAAAGTCAATCATATGTCTCAACTCATATTATTATATATTTATAAGTTCACAGTGATGGTTGTGCACAACACCATCTCCTTCCCCTGGGGAATACATGAATATCATTCAGTTTTTTTTCCTATTTCAAAATGCTAGTTTTACTTTGGTCCACCCTTTGGTCAATATCAGTCAGAGATCAGCACTGTAAGTAACAATTTCACCCAGGAAATTTCCATAAATCTGCATGTGTCTCAAAGATACTCTCTCTATGCTTCCAAAGCTAAAAACGGAAGGCCATTACCAAAGGGCTAATTGGGCCTCCATTTGCAGTAAAATAGTTAACGGACCCTGTTGTGTCAGAATATATGCTCTTTCCCCGCCTTGAGAGCTAGCATTCTCTAGCATTATCCTGTGTGACTAGATTATTAAACTTTGTCATCGTTCCAAGCAGATTCTCATTATTTTCTATCCTCTTGGAAGATGATTTCTTCTAATCTGTCTAATTTTAGAGAGTAAGCTCTTTTAGAGAGTAAACTATTTTCTTTTGAAAGTCACTCTTCATTAAAAGTAAATTCAGCTTCTCCCATTGTATCTAGGCCAGCTTCTATTTCATGTAGAACTCACTTTTGCTTCACTGGCCAATGTAAAATCCAACACATGCATTGTTGTCATTGAGTATAAATTGCTTGGTTATGGTTAGGATACATGCATTGTATCACCAAATTCTGGGTGTCCCATGCCAGAGTCAAAAGTATAGTGGTTATTCCAAAATTCAATTTAGTCTGACCATGCCATGTTTTCCATAATCTTCCTTGTTTCAGGTTTGGATTGTTCCTAGTGGAGACACACATCCATTATGTAATGCCTAGTATGTTATTTTTCATTCATAACCCACTGATACTTTTTATCTTGTTTAAAATCTTTCCACCCACAAAAAAGGGATGATATGTGTTCGTACACATCATACTATGATATGTCAGGCATGCAGGTACTGTGTGCTGCCCATTATATTTGGGTATTCTGGTCATCAAAATTTATGGTTATACTGTACATTTATCCGTTTGCCTTACATTAAACACTATGCATCATAATTGTCCATAGGGAAGAAATTCCTGAATATTTTAATGAATTCCTAATTTTCTAATGAGGGTAAGTTTCTGTAACTCATTACCATTTCTATTCATAAAATGGGGATAATGCTGTTAAACATTTAGTAATAGTTATAGCCATTATATGCATCAAGCTCTCTACCTTTTTTTTTTAATCCTCACCTGAGGATATGTCTTTTTTATTGATTTTAGAGAAAGCAGAAGGCAGAGAGAGAGAGAAAGAGAGATAAGAGAGAAATATCGAGCAGTTGCCTCCTGTATGTGCCTGGATAAGGGATAGAACCCACAATCTAGGTATGTGCCCTGACTCAGAATTGAACCTGCAACCTTTTTGGTATATGGGATGATGCTCCAACAAACTTAGCCACCTTGCTAGGGCAAATTCTCTACTTTTAAAAAATAAAAATAGGAAGTCACGAAAATCAAATAACAGGTCAATGACATTCTAGCACTCAATAATTTATAAGCAAAAGGGATTATTAGTCACATATTTAATCCTTTAGTCACCAAGGGATAAACAGATATAGCCTGCTAAGTAGTGATAGAGGCCCTCTCAAAAGCCTTCTAAAAGGTGTGAAGTTTTAATGCTATTGTTTATCATTTATACAGAAGTTAATGTTCATAAAATATACTATAAAAATTACTTGAATGAACAACAAGACCAGAGTTAAATATCCAATGAAACTTGTGGAACACCAGACAGTTCTTTATAAACTTTATTACTTGCTGGCAAAGTTTAATGCCATGTTAATAAAGTTTTTATTGCACTTAGGATATAGAAATACAGACTACACCACAAACATAAGCAAACCAACTACTCATCATTGTAACTATAACCTTTGGTTAGTTACTCATATATGACACATTTCTTTCCAACCTTAAAGATAAAAACAGCTCAATATACAAAAGTTAAATGTTAACACAGTGTGACATTATTGAATGGTCTGGCACAAGAATTTGAAACATCCTTTTGACAATAGCTAGTGACATACTGAACCTGCCATCAATGTGATAGCTGCTTCTTTGAGAAGAACAGCAGTCAATTAATTTTAAATATTGAAATAATCATTACTCACTAACATATACTGGTGTCTAATCATTATGAAGGTTTTATAATAAGATTTCAATTCTAATTTGTTCTAAAATTCAGTGAACTTTCTTGCCATACAGAAACCCTCAGTGCTCCCTTACTCCCAAATAAATTGGGTTAATGTTTGCTTATTGTATAAAAAGTGCATGAAGTGGCCAAAACTTCATGGCCTTTGGAGGAATTTCTCAGTTCACATAAAAATGTATTCTTGTCTCTAATATATGATCAGCTGAAAGTATTAAATCTCTACTGAGCATTCTGGAGACATAGCATACCACTCTGTTGCTATGGTGAAAATACTTGAGATTCAGAGGAGGTAAGAAATGATGGTGGCTTGGAACAGGGTGGAAGCAGTGGCGTTGGTAAGAAGTAATCAGATTCTGGATATATAATGAAGGTAGAACCAATAGTATTTGCTTACGGAGGTTATATGGGAAGTGAGAGAAAAAAAAAAGGAAAAAGAAAAACTCCAAGATTTCTGGCCTGGCTTGAAGTCAAGAAAAGTTCTTTTGAAAATGGAAGCAATAATAGCATGTTTGTGCATGAATATTAATAGAAGCCAAGGCAGAAGACATAAGATACAGACACAGAAGCAGATCGATGGGTAGGTGTGGAAGAACTGGTGGAAGTACTCTTTTGATTACTTCAATTTTTTCAGTGGAATAACCTCCAAAATACAAGTTGAGAGTAAAGTTGGAGGAGGTGTTGGAAGTTTAAGGAGAACAGAACGTGTATGATTAGTCACCTAGGAAAGAAGAAACGCCCAAGAAAATATAGTATGATTGTTGGGCAGCATTAAGGGATCACTGAGTTTATGGTCATTCTGTATATGTGTCAATGTTTTCCTGTTAGTTCAGCTATGCAAAGTGCAGGTATAGGGTAGGTGGGAAATATGATTTGACCAGGGTTGGATTTTGACAGCAAGTATAACAAGGAGAAGGGTCAAGGGAACTGAAGACATATGCATGGGAGTGACCATGAAAGTTAAGCTGGGTAAGGAGAGAAGTGAGGATATCAGGGGAATGACAGACAGTTTAAAGGTAGTAGGATCAATATCACACAACGGTGGGTACTTCTATGTTCAATGATGCTTTAGTATTTTTCCTCTATTATTTATATTATTTGTACTTGTTATATACCAGTTGTTAAAATATGTTGGAAATTATGAATATGTGACTGTGACTAGAGCTTAGCACTATATCATGCACAATTATATCTTTAAACTTGCCTTCTCATGACATTCAGCCTAGTCTCTTTTTCCAGCTGTGGCCCCACATGCAAATACATGTATGCTCAAGCACACACATACATGTAAAATAACAGTGGTTACTTTTACAATATATATATTTTTATTGGTTTCAGAGAGGAAAGGAGAGGGAGAGAGAGAGAGAGAGAAACATCAATGATGAGATAGAATCATTGATTGGCTGCTTCCTGCACACTCCCTACTGGGGATTAAGTCCACACCTACTGGGGATTGAGCCCACGACCCGGGCATGTGGCCTTGACCAGAATCGAACCTGGGACCCTTCAGTCCGCAGGCTGACGCTTTATCCACTGAGCCAAACTAGCCAGAGCAACAGTGGTTTCCTTTGTGTGGTGACTAGTTTTTTGTTATTTGGGGTTTAATAAAGATTTTTTCCCTCATACTTTCTAATTTCTAAATTTTCTATACTGAGTATAAAATGCTTCTGTAATTTAGAAGAAATATTTAAAAGAACATATGTATTTATACCCATATATAATTAAAATCCTGGCTGTATTCCATAATGAGGTGTTAGAAGACTTAGGCAGGATTCAGGCCATAGACAATTTACAGAAATTAAAAGATTTGAGATGATGAAAGCTGATATACTTTTAAAAACTACACGGTGCATAAAACACATGCATGGATCATTGTCTGGCAAGTGAAATGTATTAAAATGCATGACATTGAAACTGCAATTAAAACAGTAAAATATTTTTAAATTGGAAGAAAGGACCATTACAAACCTGCTTTCTGTTTTGAGCTCTTGCATTCCGTAATCTTCTAGCAGAATAAAAGATAAAATAGCCCACAGTTGCTGCCGTAATAATAAAAAAGGACACAGAAACAAGGAAAATTGAATAGTGATTCACCCAAGGGCCATGTTTTTTCCCTACTTCGATGACCATTGTTACTTGTATGCCTCTTTGAATTGATTGTAGAATTTTTGTGCCTTTCAGATTGCCAATCATGATGGCAACAATGTCTCCTGCACCTATAAAAGAAAAGGAATTTAGTTTTAGTTTGGTAAAGCATCCTATATAATAAAGAGGGAATATGCATATTGACCATCACTCTGCCACAAAGATGGCTGCACCCACAGCTGAGGTCGAGTTCCCATAACAAGCCTTAAGGAGCAATCAGCAGGGAACTGAGGCTGCACCCCCCTCTCACCCCATGAGGCTTGACAGGGTACCTCAGGCCGCACCCCACGCCCCAGCGCCAGGCCGGGTGACCTCAGGCCAAGCTCCCCGCTCAGCAGGGCTTGACGGGGGACCTCAGGCCATGCCCCCCACCCTGGCACCAGGCCAGGGGACCTGAGGCTGCGTTCCCCCCTCTGGCGGGGCTTAACAGGGGACCTCAAGGTGTGCCCTCTGCCCTGGTGCTGGGCCAGGGGACCTTAGGCTGCTCCCCCTGCCCTGGTGCCAGGCCGGAGGAACTTGGCTGCACCCCCTGCCCTGGTGCCAGGCCAGGAGACCTCAGGCTGTGTCCTCCACCCTGGACGAGCAATCAGCAGGGAACTGAGGCTGCACCCCCCTCTCACCCCATGAGGCTTGACAGGGTACCTCAGGCCGCACCCCACGCCCCAGCGCCAGGCCGGGTGACCTCAGGCCAAGCTCCCCACTCAGCAGGGCTTGACGGGGGACCTCAGGCCACAACCCCCACCCTGGCACCAGGCCAGGGGACCTGCGGCTGTGTTCACCACTCTGGCGGGGCTTAACAGGGGACCTCAAGGTGTGCCCTCTGCCCTGGTGCTGGGCCAGGGGACCTTAGGCTGCTCCCCCTGCCCTGGTGCCAGGCCGGAGGAACTTGGCGGGGACCTCAGGCCATGCCCCCCACCCTGGCACTAGGCCAGGGGACCTAAGTCCGCACCCCTCACCCAGCAGGACTTGATGGGGAACCTCAAGGTGCGTCCCCCACCGTGGTGCTGGGCCAGGGGACCTTAGGCTGCTCCCCCTGCCCTGGTGCCAGGCTGGAGGAACTTGGCTGTGCCCCCTGCCCTGGTGCCAGGCCAGGAGACCTCAGGCCGTGTCCTCCGCCCTGGACGGGCTTGATGAGGGACCTCAGGCCATGCCCCCCACCCTGGCACCAGGCCAGGGGACATAAGTCTACACCCCTCACCCAGCAGGACTTGATGGGGGACCTCAAGGTGCGTCCCCCGCCGTGGTGCTGGACCAGGGGATCTCAGGCCATGTCCCCCACCACAGCACCAGGTCGGGGGACCTCAGACCACCCCCC